GTGCTCGCTGATCTGTGCCCAGAGCCTAGAAGAGGGCCTGGCACAGAGTACGCGGTCAGTGAATGCTTGTTGAGTTAATTTTCACTTTCTCTGTCCATGAGCCTGGACTTCAAGTCTAAGAAGGTCGTGTGGCTTGCCTGAGCTGCTTGCTCATTGTGGTCCCATACTGGCTCCTGATGTGTGTGCTATTTCAAGATCAAGGCCCCCAAAGCAGACCCTAGTAACTTGTTCCAGAATTTTGCTGGGAAACCACATCAGGATCCCCAGCTGCTTACGGAACTCACGTTCTTTCTATGGCTCGTCAGGCTCCTGACCCCTCTCTTTTTCTCGGGTGCTGCCATGTCACCAGTAGTGATCTCTTACATGTTCGTTCAGTGCCCTTGGCTGTCATTTACCTGGATTCCCTTTGGATTAGCCTGGTGCTTTCTGGGCTGTATTCCTTCTCCTAAGTTTACTTCCCCACATCACCAAGCTCCTGCTGCTCCTTTTGTGCAAAAAGCATTCTCTCTGACAGGAGACAGAGGCAAAAAGGGCTGGAGGAATTCTGCTTTCTCTGTTTCCTCCAGCTTGGCATCTTCAGGCCCCAACAGCATGCTTAGCCCTTTCCCTGTTCTTGCTCCAAATATAACTCTTCTTAAGTTTGTTTGCCAACTTGAGCTACATAGAACTTCCTAACACCATTCTTCTGTCTCTGGTAGCCTTTAATGGAGGTGTTTCTGCTATAAACCTTGATGCACATTTTTTTAAAAGACTCACATTCTGAAATTACATTACTGAAAATGGGCTTACAGGAAAGGCAGGATTGGGGCCGGCCCCTCAACACTTACGACACTGTAATGAGAACCCTAAACGTACAACAACAATCTCAGTTGAAGTAATGACAGTAAAACCTCCACCAACATCTGCACCTCAAATCCCTGTTAGTCCTTTGCCCACTGTGTCCTGCCGTGTGCGCTCCCTCCTTTTAGAAGTAGGTCCCAGAGAGCCTTCGCCGCCAGCAGAGTAAAGCTGTTCATCAAAACTAACGATCAGATGCAGGGCCTGCCTTCTCCGTCAGTCCATGGTTCTCATATAGAGGTAAATTTCTCTGTACCTCCTTCATTGGTACTTACTGCTTCACCAGATAGCTTAATAAAAGTGGAAACCAACCAATTTCTGCATCCAAGGAAGGCATTTCTAGTATTTTGTTTGTTTGTTTGTTTGTTTCTTTTTTTTTTAAGAGGGGGAGGAAAAAAATCAGCGTGAGAGAGAAACAGCGATCTGTGCCTCTCGTCCATGCCCCAGCCAGGGACCAAATCTGCAACCCCGGCCTGTGCTCTGACCAGAATGAAACCCTGGCGACCTTTCTTTCAATCTGCGGGACAAGGCTTAACCAACTGAGCCACACTGGTCAGGGCTGTTGCTTTCTTTCTTTTCTTTTTTTTTAATTTTATTGATTTTTTAAGAGAGGGGAGGGAGAGAAAAACACCGATTTGGTGTTCCACTCATTTGTGCATTCATTGGTTGATTCTTATATGTGCCCTGGATGGGGATTGAACCCGCAACTTTGGCCTATTGGAACAACACTCTAACCAACTGAGCTACCCTGCCAGGGCCCTTCTATTGAATTTTGTTTCTTAAGGTCTTTTGATATTGCTGAAATGTTCTCTTTAGGTGTAGAACATCAAACATGAACGCTGGGAAACCTGCTCAGGAACTAACATGACTTCCACACTACACTGACAGCACACCCACTCACTGATCGCCGTGAGCGAGTTTGTGGTAGCGGAGCGCTCCCTGAAGCACGACAGTCTATATTTGATCGGAGTCCTCTGGGTCTCCTTCTGCCTTTATCCATATCTTTTACACCCTGAACATTTTGGAAAACTTGTTGCGCAGCCTCGTAATTATCGTTCATTACCTCTTCCTCTTTTTCCCTATTGGAAAAAAAGAAAAGAAAAGGACGGTGATAGGAAAGCTTAGTATTAATACCTTGCTTGGGCTTTGGAGTGCGTCCTGGGTTCAGATCGTGGCTGCACACACCGCCCCTTCCTCTGTAATCTGAGGTATGTCACTGCCCTCTCTGCCGGGGCCTCGGGGTCTACATTAGCAAATAAAAACACCTACTTTGAAGTGATTGGTGTTACGAGGATTAATAATTATATCTATACAGCACCTTATACAAAGCAGGGACTTAGTAAATGACAGCTGTTGTAACTGAGGTCGTTTGCAGAATTTCCCAACTAGGAATCATCTTTCCTCCCAGATTCATCTTCAGGGACTCGTTTGTATCTGTTCCCAGAACCCTCACTAAAATTCCTCGCCGTGGTCATCCCATTTGCCCTCATCACTGTTGCTTCCCAGCATCTATGGCAGTGTCTCAGGCACATAGCAGGTGCAAAGTAAATTGTTGATTGATTGAACTAAATCTTACACATCATTATTCTAAGCTTTTGTACATACATTATTCTTCTTGGTTTTCTGTTTATCTTAAGTTCTCCAATGTTTAGGGAGCCAGATTATGAGCAAGTGTACAGAATTCTGGGTCTACGGTGAGAAGATGGAGTACAGCTGTGGGAGATTTGGGGGAGGGACGGTGTGCTTGGGGCAGTGATCAGGTAGATAAACTTCAGGGCTTTTTTAAAAAAATGGAAGTCACAGTATAATCTCACAAGCGACGTCTCATCCCTTTTGTGGTATTCTGTTTATTAGAAGCAAGTCTCTGGGTCCAGCCCACACACAGGGAGAGGGACTTACACGAGGGTGAGACTACCAGGAGGCCAGAATCATTGGGAGGCCCCGTAGAAGCTTCCTGCCACACTCCCTCGGAACAGGCTGAGGCTCGGAGGGGTTTAGTTACTTCCTCAGAGTCACCTTGTTCTATGCTGGGGCGGGAGTCAAACAGAACAGTTCTCTCTTTTAATCACTACACATATAAACAAAGTCACCTTAATAATATTTTAAGTGGTTGCTACTATGTGACACTTATATGTTTTCTAAATTTATCTTCCCAGTAACCCCACAAGGTTGGTTTTAATATAGTCCCCATCTGTAATAGATGAGACTCCATGAATGAATCAAGAGAGAGAACCATTTGCCCAAGTCCACAAACTAGCTGAGTGTACCCCCATTCCTAAAGAAAGAGTGGAGAACAGTGGGGATGGGTGTGGCCTGACCTTGGGATGAGAGGCGCTCTAGGCAGCCTGCCTCTGCCTACTCTGTTGCAGAACCAGGACGGGCCATCCAGCCTCCCCTTAGCCCATGTGGAAAGGCCCCTCAACACCATTGCCCCTCATAGTGCTGCTCCCAGGCTCACCAGACCACCGCTGGCGAGTGATTTCACATGATTTCACTTGCCCTGGCTGGACACCTGAGGGTGTCAGGTGCTGGACAAGAATCGTGCTAGTGCCCTGTGCTCCAGCCACACTGGCCTTTGAGTCCTCTTGTCTCTGAGCTTGACCCAGGCTCCAGTCTCTGCATAGAATATGCCCCACTTCCTGCTCCTTTTACCCTGTCGACTTCTATTCCTGCTGGAAAACCAGATCAGGCCCCTCTGCTACGTGCTAAGCGCCCGGATATTCCCTTTGCCACACGTATTGCAGTTCATAACCGTTACCGCGGTGGGGTGGAGGGTACGTCCTGTGAAGGCAGGCCCTGTCTGTTTTGCTCACTGTTCTATCCCCATCATGCCCAGCACAGTACCTGGCAAACAGCAGGCAGTTAATGAGTGCTGCTATTACCATCTGTTGAATGAATAGTGATTGCCTCCTGTAGCTCATTCCAGGATCTAGCCACCCTGTTTTCCCCAGGGTGCGTCTGTCCTGTGGTAGTGTTCATTGTTCCCTTGTCAAACTTTTATACTAAAATGCTAACTAGGGGAGAACTGAGGGGCTTCCTTACTTCCCATGTAACATCTGACAGGGACTTCTAGAGACAACTAGTTCTGTAGTGTTCCCACCTGGCGTGACACTTAAGGGGAAGGACGTTCGACCCTGAGGGATAGATGGAGAAGAGCAGGACAGAGTGTGGGGTCTATTTTAAGATAGGAGAGGCCTTGTTTCAGAACCTTTCAAATTGCAGGGCCTACTCTAGTGAGTGTAGACAGGGTTTTTAATAAGGGAGGAGCCTTATCTCATTATTTAAAAATAATGTTCAGCCCTGGCTGGTATGGCTCAGTGGATCAAGTACTGGCCTGTGAACCAGAGGATCACCTGTTTGATTCCTGGTCGGAGCACATGCCTGGGTTGTGGGCCAGGTACCCAGTTGGGGATGTGCAAGACCACACACTGATGTTTCTTTCCCTCTATTTCTCCCTCTCTTACTCTCTCTCTAAAAATAAATAAATCAAATCTTAAAAAAAAAGTTCACAGCCTTTGCTGGTTCGATCCTGGCCAAGGCACATGCCTGGGGTATGCAAGATGCAACTAATTGATACTCCTCTCTCTCTTTCTCTCTCCCTGCTCCTCTCTCTAAAAATAAGTAAATCAAATCTTTTTTAAAAAACAATATTTATGGAGAGTTTGTAAGAACACTGAAGAAAAGCATATACTATACAATACAAATATATACACATATGGTTGGATTTCATTTGTGCAAAGATATGCATTTCTAATACTGGCTTTGCCTCGTTGAGTTATTACATGTCACAATAACCCTATTAAGGTAGGCACTGTTATCTTCATTTTGCAGATGAGGAAGCTGAGGCACAGGGTGGTTAGGTCATTTTCCCAGGGCTCCACAGCCAGGAAACAGCAGCTCAGATTTGAACCCTGTCGGTCAGACACTAAAGCCCTTAACCACTGCACTGGGCAGAGGGAAGTCCATGAAAATGTGCACTGTCTTCGGGTGGTGGCTTATTTTTTCCTCCATTCCCCAGGTATCCTTTGTGGATTTACTATAGAAGCTGAAGGATAAATTTTTGAATAGGGAAGAAGGTAGGGTGATGAAATTTGAAGGACAAATATATACTTTAGAAGAAAAAATTCACCCCATTTCCTTTTCCACTTTTCTTTATTTTCCAGAACTGACCACCCCAATCCAGCAGATCACTGAGACTCTGCCCCCAGATGTGGAAGCCAGCACAGCACTCATTGCAGGTAACCAAGGCCCTGAGCCAAATCCGAGGGACCTCTGCATTTAGGGGCCTTCTCGTGCCAGGCAGCCAGGACTGCAGTGTGATGACCTGGGATTCCCTGTGCAGGACAGCACTACAAATCAGAGACCAAATCCACAAATGGGCTCATTTTGGCACATAGGTTGTCTTACACACACACACACACACACACACACACACACACACACAGCTCTGAGAGACTCCTCGAGGCTTCCATGAGAGGCACTGCCAGTAAATGATAGGTTGGGAGAGGTTGGGATGTGGCCACAAATAGATATATAGATGCATGTGGGGTCTACACTCCAGCATGTGGGTCGGGAGGAGGATGTGTGTGGTTTGTCCAGTGGATGAGGAAGAGGATGGGAGGGAGCAGAGAACCCCCAACAGGAGGCTATGGATTTAAACAACCCTTCCTGTTGGGATAAGCTATTTCCTGTTTGCCTCCTTTCTGTTTCTATTATACTCATCAGAAACTAGTTGACAGAGAGTTCAGTTTTACCAGAAATCAAAAGCCTTGTGTCCTTAGCTTGAGACCCAGAGACCCCAGGGATTGTGTCCCACGGGAGTTGGGCTTGGTTGGGGAATATGGATTTGGAAGTGGACACTAGTTAACTAGACCAGAAGGATCCTTATGAAAAGTGAGGGAATTGTCTAACTCAGGGGATGCTTTGAATAACTGAGACATACTCAATCCTGAAATATCTCTACATTTTCCCTCTCCTTTCCAAGTTGTTATCACCGTGGTCTTCCTCACCCTGCTCTCAGTCGTGATCTTGATCTTCTTTTACCTGTACAAGAACAAAGGCAGCTACGTCACCTACGAACCTGCAGAAGGAGAGCCCAGCACCATCCTTCAGATGGAGAGTGACTCAGCCAAGGGCAGGGAGAAGGAGGAATATTTCATCTAGTGATTCCCAGGCCCCAAGGAGCTTATCCAGGCTCCAGTGCTAACACACTGACTATTTAATTTATTAGGTGAAACTTTTATCTAAAACCAGTGAGAAGCATTGATTGATATGGGCAAACCTGAGCTCCTTCCAGGAGGAGGCCCAAATCCAGCATCACTGACACCAGGAACCAGGGACATGGAGAAAGCTACTTATGTCTTTAGCCAGGGCCTTTGTAACACTGCAGTGTTTGTGACTGACCAGCAAGATGGAGCCATACCAGGCAACATTTGAGTATGTGCCCAATCATCTTCAGTTTTTTTCACAGGTCAAAGGGGAGAAGAGAGTTAAAGTCACTGGCTGCTCCTCTGCCCCCTGCCTGGTCACCTAGTGATAGCCTGAGTGGAGAGAGCATCCATACTCCTTCCCAGAGGCTGGATGCCACAGTGAAAGGCCAGGCCAGGAGGGAGAGAAGACTATGTAGAGACCTTACCTCCTGGTCAATGTGCAGCATCCCTTCATCTGAGCCCATCCTTTAGGTATTCCCTAACGCCGTACTTAATGCTATTTTTATCAGAATTAAAATTTTTCATTGACTCAGAAATCAGATTCTCTTAAGAAATAACTACCTTTTCATTTTGACTTATCCCTAAACTTTTTTTTTTTTTTTTTGCTTAACTCCTTTGCGTGTTCTCACACAAGCAAGAACCCTAGGGAAGTTTTGGAAGTTGAAAGGAAGCTGGTCCTGGGAAGCTGGTCCCAGAGGGGTGTCATCACAAACATACCCTGGGAGATAGATTGGTTTCCTCTCCACCCTGACAAGGAGCAGTTTTCCAGAATCTATTCTCTGTGTGCACAGGGGGAACCGGGAGCAGTCTTCTCACTTTTCCCACTAATGTCCTTGAATCGAGCCCAGCAAAGCTTCTTGGATTTAACTTGTATCTCAAAATGAGGTATGTTTAAAAGGTGCAATTATTTTGGTAGAAATCATTAGCTCCCCAAGTCCACCTGAAGTAAGATTTCAAGAGTTCAGGAAATCAATCTGGCAAGCTCGCTTCCAGTTTTCAGTACTTCTTCACATGGAACTTCGGAGGAACTGAAGGTTATCCTGAACTCACACGAACTGTTATACTAAAAACATTTTTTTCAAGTCAAACTTTAGGGCAAGTTAGCAGAATCAATCTTTTGAAAAAATCAATTTCAAAGACAGAGAAACACTGACATTAAGAGAGAAATATAGGTTGGTTGCCTCCCGTATGTGCCCCAAATGGAAAACAAACCCACAATCTAGGTGTGTGTTGTGACCCAGAATTGAAGCCTCAGCCTTTTGGTGTACAAGGCAACGCTCCAACCGAGCCCCCTGGCCAGGGCTCATGACCTTATTTCTAAGTTTGTATTCTGAATTCCTCTGGCATAATAGACTTTTGAGAATCTGCACTGGCCAGGTAGCACAGTTGGTTACAGTCATCCCAATATGCCAAGGCTACAAGTTTGATCCCCCATCAGGGCACATATAATGATCAACTGATGAATGCATAAATAAGTGGAACAAAAATCGATGTTTCTCTTTCTCTCCCCCTAAACTCAATTTTTAAAAATAAATTTTAAAAAAATCTGAAAGAGCTTAGGAAAAGGGAAATATCTTGGGTGGAATTAAGAATGATCCAATCTTAGCCTTGTCCCCCTGCATTTATTTCAAAGGCTTCGTTGTTTGTTTTTTTTTAAATGGCAGCACCACCAATCTGAATTCTTGGTGAGATATAAAAGATATAAACAGAATAAATCTAAAAACAAGCTGAATAAAGAATCCTTGAAGTGAGGTGTAATGCAACTTCATCACTTTATTCAAATCTTCAAAATAGTCTTTATTCTACATTTTTAGTATAAAAAAATCCACAAGTTAAGTGCACCACAGTGTAGAGAGAGACATACAACGCTGAACTTCCATAACAGTCAATGGTACAGTCAAACATCACATGTACGGAACACAATTTAGATGAACTGAAATTATAAAATAAAATAAACTCCAATTGCTGAAAAATTAAAATATTAAGGATCCCTGAAATAGTCTTAACCCTAATGAGATTTCACTGGACTTGAGTCATTTTGCAGTGAGGCGTTCACAACAGGACCCCATTAACCCAGCTGAGGAATTCCTGGGAGCCGTGAGTGGCTGCATCGGACACTCGAACAATAAATGGTGACCAATTTTTGATCTGAAAACTCCCCTTAATTTCGGCTCTAAAGTCATCAGGCTTGTGAAATGCATCCTCCTCATTGCCCCCTGCCCAGGCACACATTGTAAACAAACTGTTGTTAACAGTACAGTTTGTGTTACTATGTGTTCAAACAAGCTGTTTTTCTGGCACCAAAGCAAATTTGGATTTGGTTCATGTATGAAGAGACAACCTAGGAAGAGGGTCCAAAGGTACCCTCGTCTCTTGCCTGAGGAGATGCATAAGCAGAAGTAATGGGGTCTGTGCTTGGGCACGGGGGGGTTTCAGAGGATCCCTGTGAAAGACTAGTTAAAAGATGACAAGTGGGGAGAAGTGCAAGGAGAGAAGGAAATTAGTCTGACTGGCTTTCTGTCCTGCACCATTGATTCAATGGAGATGGCGGGAGGGAATGGAAGACGGGCTGAGGGTGAGATGTGGGACAAAGGATGGAAAAGAAAAGGCAGACAACTAATGCATTTATAACAAGTCATATAAATCAAAGACTTAAAGGAGATTAAAGACCAATCAGAATAATTTGGCAACTTTAATTCTTAGGAAGATCAAAGTTCCCTCCAAACCTAATTTGATGTTTTATTACTAAAAGCAAAGACCAGTATGGTACAGTATTACTCCAGAGGAATTAAAGGAAGATCCTTAGGGCTGCTTCACCCACATTCATTTTATGAATGGATACCTCCCCTACCTCAAAATGCTTTAGGGAGGTACTGCTACCATTACATGGTTCCTTATTAAGTTTGAAAAGTGCCTGAAAGTTTGGGCACCAGAAAGACACCCCAACAACATGTGTCTTAAACTGCAACTTCAGGTTAATATGACTAAAGCAGTTACATTGTGAGAAGTGCTGAAGGTATGTGATGTCTTTCCCGGCACAGAGGTGGCCTTGGTTCTTCACCAGATGGTATAGCCACCATCTGTGCCACCCATGAAGAAGTTCCCCTTCCGCTGAGTTATGAGGACATTGGCTCCCTGCATGACTGCCAGCTGAGCAGCATTCGGAGGACATCCTGGGGGTGGAGGCTGAAAGGAAAAGACAAGATTGACTGGGCACAAAGCAGCTGATGTGAGGGAAGCAGGTACAGGTGAAACAGAGGACCCTGTATGGAAGATGGCAATGTGCTGACCAATAGCATCTTTAGGAGACAGTCTGCCAGCAATCTGGGTTCTAAAGCAGATCTATGAACCCAGAGATACAAAGAGAAAAGGGGACACCACTTATTCAAAGGGTTCCAGTTCCAAGATAAAGCCTCTGGATACCTTCTGAATATGGGTAGTCTAGACCCATTGGCATCTTCAGTGATTTCCTACCCACATTCCAAAAATGGATCGACTGCCAGGTCCACAGCCCTATACCACAAGGTCCCTCAATAGCTTTCAGAAGACTATGGGATAACCAAAGGGCTCTACCTAGCCACAGTGTTCCCACCTCTTCTCTGACAGATGGTAAACAGACAGGCCTTAAAGCCCAGCAAGGACCATTTGGGCTCTAAACCCCATGCACAGGGAAACTAAGCAGGAGACACAAAATTCCTAGTATCTTCCTAAATGCCACTTATGCATTTTACTTTTTAATCATCACAGCTCCTAATACAATGCCATGCTTATGGCAAATATGAAGTCAATGCTATGGAATGAGTAAATGTTACCAGACCAGTTCACTGTACCAAAGAGAACTGAAAAAGCAGCAGGCAAGATTCCGAGGGCAGGAAAACAAAGGAATCTGGTTAACTCAGACCCCAGTGAAGGTTCCAGACACTACTGTCCTGCCACAGTTCACAGGCCTTCTCAGCTGCTTTCTGCCTGACTAGTGGATGTCACTGGTTGCACTAAAATCAGCAACTATTATCCAAGGATGGCGAAAGGATGAATATATAGTCATTTCAGAAAGTTTAAATGCACAAGGGCTGAGTTTTTTCTGACAAAGTCATACTCACAGGAATGTTGCCAGCAGTAGCCCCAGCTCCAAACCTGGCACCTGGATCATACCCTCCTTCCACCAGCACTGTTGAACCAGGTGGATAAATGGGGCCAACTGGATAATAAGCCATAGGGATTGTGGAACCTAAAGGTCCAACAGCCACAGACTGGGCCATGGGGAGATACAGTGAGGCGCCAGGAAACGCAGCTGACATGGTGGGGACGGTGGCAGCCCCTGGGTGCACAAAGCTCGGACGATAGAGCTAGAAAAGGCAGGAGAAGGCAAAATGTTACTTGATGACACTTCTACTTTAGACTTCATTCCTGTTTCCTCTTTAATGAGTCATTCTTAAATCTCTCTGTGCAGATTACAATCTATGAATTATATAAGTTGCCTTTCCCCTACTGCTCAATATTCTCCTAAATCCCTTCCTGCTACAGCGTACATCAGACTCAAGGAACACAAATTCATCTTAACCTCAGCCTGTGCCAAATAATGTAAAAATCATCAGACAGTGCATTCTGAACCCAACAGAAATTGAGGAATGATATACTGTTTTAGATTATTCATGTGAGTACTCTCCTGTTCATGAATCTATGGAGTCAGACTTAGCTAAGAACTGAAAATACAATCCAACTTATTCTCAACAAGTTCAAGTCTAGTAAACTGAAAGCACCTCTGAGTAGGCAGGTGGAGCATCGGTATAGGGTGGAGCCTGAGGAAGATGCAAGGTCTGAGGGTACACTGGATTCCCAGGAGGCTGCACAGGGTAGGTTGGCTGTGTTGGATATTGACCTGGAAGACAAGAATAAATGCATGCTGCCTACCATACAGAGCCACCAAAATGGAGGAGAGCATATTGGATAGTTAACTTAGAGGGAGTAAGCAGTAGGGGATTTGCAAAAACAGACTGCCCCAGAGGAGCCAAGAAAATAAGCATTCTCCCTGCACCCTTATTGCTGAAAATGCTAGATTCCAACTGGACAGCAAAGTCGCTCTTCCCACTAGTACATTGGTGGAAGTGAAAAGTCTTGCTGGGCCCAAGTTCCTTCCAGAATGCACAAGTTCGAGCCCATGTTTCATGGGTGCCCCTGCTCTGGATAGTTTCCACAGGCCTGGTTGTAACCAGCAATACCTCGTGAGTAACGGTGGCTGTCTCAAAGATGTCCACCCAAGGTCGACTTCAAATTAAAAGAATGAGTGAATGGTGAAAGTGAATTCTGCAACCGGACAGAGGGTGAAGGGTCAAGTCTTGACTGTAAAAGGAAGAACGTGTTCTGCCTCCAGCGAAGGAAGGGGAACCTGACCCCTCAGGCCCTGGCCCGCCCACCAACACCGCACCTTACTAGTTAAGCCCCGGGCTTGCCTAGCGTTTCGGAGCGCGGAGCCCCGCCTCTGCCGGCTCTCCATTGGCCTACCCAAATCCCTGCTCTAGCTCCCTATTTGCTTCTG